ATTAACATTTATTAGCAGGCAAATCATGATTAATATGTGTTACAACTTATACATAAAGTAGCTGATGCACACAAAACAATATCACAGATTTATCAAGGAACCCACTCAGCCTATGTGACACCAAGTCCTTTGAGATCAATCGAGATGGAATTATCGTTTGCTTCTTCCAGGATTTAGCCACTGATTCCTATCCAACAGCAGCTCACACTCAACCCAGGTTTGATGTATGAATCTTCCACAAAATGGTGCATTTCACCAGAATCTTTGCAACTCTGTTCCCATTAACCTTGGTCATGTGGACCCACAAGAATCATCTTTACGCAAACCAGAAATAAGGATCTTGTGCGCCATATGGTTGATTCCTTCCAATCAATTATTTAAAGTCCAAAACAGCAGCAAGAAATCTGCATTTAATTTACATCCACTCCCTTCATGCTGTCATTTTGCCAACTGCACCCAGCAACATCATCTTCCCAAAAAGCCTGATTACATTGACCTGTTTCATGTCACACTCGAGGTCACAGGATAGCAGATTTTTGTGCCCATGCAGACACACAAGGACAGGGCTGGTAAATTTCCCCAAACAATGTCTTCCAGGATAAACCCAAGTAACCCGCTACGGATAGAGCTGACCTTGTGCAAAGCAGTGGAATCCTCAGTTCTCTGAGTTGCCATTCACTCTCAACAAATGTACATCATTTCCCATAGTCAGCCTTTGCAATCACAGACAAAAGGATGCAGCGCTTTCATTCTGCTTTTAGACATTTCTTTCCATAGTGACTAGCTGCTGTTTCACTCAGAATAGTGGTTCTGCCTCCACCCAGCTTAGGTTTCCATATCAGCACCGAGGCTAGCTCGGAGACACAGGCTCCATGCAAAGTGTCTCTCTCCTCCATTATAGTGCCCTTAACCTGCTTTGATTTGGCATTGATTTTGTTTTTATTTGGAAAAACTTCTCTGGAGCACCTTGAAACTTTCTCCGAATTTTTTTTCATTCATTCATTCACCGGAGGAGGGCATCTCTGAGTAGGCCAGCATTTATTGCTCATCCTTAATTGCCCAGAGAGGAGTTAAGAGTCAACCACATTGCTGTGTGTGTGAAGTCACATGTAGGCCAGACGAGGTAAGGACTTAAGTTTCTTTCCCTAAAGAGTGTTAGTGAACGAGATGAGTTTTTCCTGACAATTAGCAATGGTGTCATAGTCATCAAAAAAGAACCCTTAATTCCAGATTCTTTATTGATTTCAAATTCCACCAGCTGCTATGGCAGAATTTGAACCCAGGACATCAGAACATTCCTGGGTCTCTGGATTAACAGTCCAGCAATAATACCACTAGGCCATCACCTCCCCAGTTGCCTTTAAACACATTAGTTGGATACTATAACTAGGTTAGTTAGATACTACACCCCTGTCTATATCAATGGTACTGAGATGGAGGTGTTCTTGAGCTTCAAGTTCCTAGGAGTAAATATCACCAACGATCTATCCTAGTCCGGCCACCTCGATGCTACAGTCAAGACAGCACATATCGCCTCTACATCCTCAGAAGGCTGAGGAAATTCAGCATGTCCACTTATCAATGTTTATAGATGCACCATAGAATGCTTCCTTTTCAGATGCATCATTCCTTAGTATTACAACTGCTCTGCCAAGACCACAAGAAATTAGAGTTGTGAACACAGCCCAGGCCATCACAAAAATCAGCCTTTCTTCCATTGATTCCGTCTGCATTTCTCGCTACCACGGGAAAGCAGTCAATACAATCAAAGATCCGTCCCACCCCAGTGTTACTCTCTTCCATTCTCTTCCATTGGGCAGAAGATACAAAAGTTTGAAAATGCATACCTACAGATTTAAGAACTGCTTCTTCCCTGCTGTTACCAGACTTGCAAATGGACCTTTCCTATATTAGAGTTAATCTTTCTCTGCAGGTTCTCTGTAGCTGTAACACAATGTTCTGCATGCTGTTCTATTACCCTAATGTACTTATATAAGGTATGATTTGTTTGGTTAGCACACAAAACAATACTTTTCACTGTATCTCAGTACATGTGACAATGATAAATCAAATGAAATAATATAAAGTTCAGTGGTAATTTTTGGAAGTCCTGAAAAGAGGCCTACCAAATAAAAACAAACAATCGCTGCAGATTAAGAGCACAGCAAAAAAATTATACAGTGCAGTTAGGAAAAAGAAATAGTTTACTGCTGAAAACATTTTGATAGCTAGAAAAAACACCTATCAGAAACCCATCAGAAAACACAGATCTTTATAAAATTGAGGATTTCAAACAATTTTGAAAAATCTTTGTTTCTGGGATTTGTGAAATCATTGCCATGTTACAGCTTGTAAAACACTTTCAAGCATGATGTTTTTGTGTAAAGCATCAAATCTCACTGTTTCTCCAGAGTTCCCTTGATTCTCCCATACTACGTGATTGAGTGGGCAGGCATACTGACTACTCCCAAATCACCAGAATTACCAGCCCTGTATCAACAATAAGGAGACATGCTAGGGGAGTCCAGGGATGATTTTTCTGCCAATTTTCTTACTGATTTTCCCTCCCTATTTGGAGAGACACACATTCTGTTTTCCAAGCCTCCCAAATAACAGCATGACTGAGAATGGGCATTGAGATCAAGCAATATCCTCGTACTATGAATTATAATGTGAGTACTTAATAATATACTCGTCTGTATACAGCGCACGAGGATGTAAGTTGTTATTTAACAGCATTTTAAAAAGTAAGCATTCAATTTATTATAGTGCACAAAACATATTTAACAAAAGTGATGGGAAGTCAACATTTTCATTTTAAAGAATTCACAACATATGTTGCATACAACTTCCAGATTTAGGCACTAACATTAAAAATTTATGTCACTTAAGATCTTCGTTTAACTCACTAATCAACACAGACCTACACTCCAAAGTTGAGCTGTTAAATAATTAATGTTTTCCTGTGTAATTATATTTCAAAAGATTGTATACATCAGTGAAAAGAATATATTAACTCAATGACCTCTGAACCCCAAAGAAAACACTGCATCTACTAAAATGAGAAACTGAAGACATGAACATCTGAAATCAAAACAAAGTAAAAATGCACCTATTTTCTAACACAAAATCTGATTGTCATTTCTGCTCCTTCAATTAATCTTCATTAAATTATACTTTGATCTTAATTCAACTGCTTAATTACTTCCTATTTTCACAGTTGGTGATGAAAATATTTAGTCACAAAGCTGCTCAATTCTCAGATCTAATACAGATGCTTGCGATGGTTTCTTAGTTTTAATGCTGGCTGACACTATTTGACACTTACACTGGTGTTCTTTTCACAGTCCCTAGTACTGTCCAACACTCTCATACGACAGATGTCCTTGGAATATATCCTTATTCCTTGGATCTAAAATATGCATTTGGGAGAGTTCTTGAGTCCCTGTACACGTTGACACTTTGAAACACTTCAATGTGTTCATATCTACGAAAAAGCCCTTTGTCTTAGTTACTTCTCCAGTTTCCAAACAAAATCATGGATTAAGAGCAGATCCTGAATAAAAACGAAAGCACCATTTTGAGAAGCTGACTATCAATAATCAGAATTAAGTAATTTATGTATGATACCTAATCTAAACTGAAAGTAAACAAAATGCAAATAAAAGCTGCAGATGCTGGAAATCAGAAACAAAAAGAGAAATTGCTGGAAAACTCAGCAGGTCTGGCAACATCAATGGAGAGAAAGAAGAATTAACGTTTTAGATCCATTAGACTAAACTGAAACTATCAGCTTCTTCACTATACATCATGTTGGGGTTGATATTGTTATCAGGTAAATCTGAAAACCTGAAAAGACTGATGCCATACGTATACCGGTAATGTAAAGTCACCAACTTTAAGGATAATATTCAAAAATTTTCATAAAATGTTTTCCAACAAAACCTGTCTCCAAATGCTTGTAATAAATTAAGTGATAGATTATGAATGTACATTTGCCCAACTACAGACTCAGAGTCAGTTTTGATCCTCAGTCTCTAAACACTTCCAGCACATGACAGCACCTGACTGTCAGACTCAGGTATCAAAGATGTAAGACATTTCTAAATCACCAAATCCATAAAATTTTAGAAAACTTTAAACAGTGAGGAATACATATTTTCCCCCAAAACTCATCGTAAGATGTCCCTGGAAATGAAATATATCTATTGAGTATGTCCACAACTCAAAGAAGATTCTGCATGTGCCCAAATTCAGCAGTGACAGGGTTTGAAATTCTGAATTCTATGATTCAGATCATGCCAATATTGAGCTGCTTAATTAGTTTGTTGATGCAGGTGGTAAAGCCATTGGCTACCTCCTTATAATTTCTCTGATTCTCCAATAGATTCAAAGTGTTGTAGTGTTGTAGTATGTGTGCAATGGGAACAGAATGATCTACCATGCAAGTCACAGACCACATGGGTCCAGGAAATTTTCTGTGCCTTAAATGTTAGTTTGTTTTCGCTTAGCATTTATGCATTGAAAATATAAATCCTTTTTTTAAATAATGGCAAAGGCCCATCATCATGAGCGTAGTAATGGTTCAAGAAATAGATTTACCACATATATTCAAGAGGCAACCAGGAACAGGCAACAAATGTGGCATTGGTAAAGTTACATTATTATCATGATTTAGCCAAAAATAATAAACTACCTCTTTGAATTTTAACAGATCCAGTTTCAAATATATTGAGTTTGCTCCCAAATAATGGAAAATAATGTTTTAGAAGCCCAAAGATTTTGGTCAGGTAAAATTAATATTTTGAGACTGATCTGGTGTAAACAGACGATGAGATATGCGTTTACAGATGAGTGAACTACTAGAAATGTATGTGTAGTGTCAGCCAGCAAGTTTGGGCAGACATAATTGCTCTAATAAGGCCTGAAGTTCAAGGAGCATATATGAAAAAATATTGTAAAATTTTAATTTAATTATAGATTAATGCTTATTTTGTCAGGTTTGGAAGCTGATGGCATTTACAGAGTAAGCGGCAATCTGGCTACAATACAGAAATTACGATTTGTAGTGGATCATGGTGAGTAGTGCCTAATGCATATGTGCAACTTTATTTTCATCATCCTGTCTAAATGGAAATGGGAAGACTTGCTTCTTTGACATTTCTCTAGCTGCAGAGAGTATGTTGAATTTAATCATTATAAATGGTTTCAAAACAGTTTCAAACTTCAAAATGATCTTTTATTCCCGTCTGAGAATATATATTCATTCTAACATTGAGACAAAGTGTTGTGTGCTAATTGAATCTTTATAGCTGTCCACTTCTTAATGTGGATTCCACATGATTGTGTATTCAATCCTTGTTTGAACAGAGTGATCTCCTGAATATTCAATGTTTGTTTTTCAAATCTTGCTGTTGCTCTTTTTCAAATTGTTATGCACATGCATCCTTATTATATTTGAATGTTTGAAAAATGCTTAAAGCTTGAAACTTGGGTCACACAGCAAATAACCAAGGAGCGAGGTTTTGATCAGTTGGCCATTCCCAAGTGGAGTACAGTTGGATCAGTTTGATACTGATTCTTTTTAATTTGTTTCCATTCCTGCATGAAGCCATATTTGGAAACATTGTTTTGTATCATATGGATTTGTCCTTCTGTCATTGTCGACATTTGTTTCTTGTGCAAGATAACTGACGTCTTAATTCTGGTAAACAAGAGAGAATGGAAAACCAAAACAAGTCAAATATTTTGTGGTAATAAGGTGTAGAGCTGGATGAACACAGCAGGCCAAGCAGCATCAGAGGGTTTTGTTATGTCAGACAAAGCCAACCGAAACCATTCAGTTTAAAGCACTGATCTGCTAAAGTCTATCATTTACTCCTACTTGATTATTTAATGCAAGCATTTAGCTTCATGTAGCACTTTATTTTACATTGTTTGGAACAAAAAAAAATCGTCTGGACCTAATACAAGTACATCATTGTGTATCATAGAACGTATGAGAAGTCCATTATAAGGTTCATTAAAACCAATGTTCCCAATTCACTGCTCTTCCCTCACCCTGAAAATCTTTCCTATTCAAGCGTTTGTCCAAGTCCCTTTTGAAAGTCACTGTTCAATCCACTTCTACTGCCTTTTCTTCAAGTGCATTCCAAATCAAAACCTGCTGCATAAATAATTTACAAATGTCACCTGTCATATTTTAGGAGAAATTTGAGTGAAAATGTAGAAAGCAGCAAAAATAGCATTCTATTTTCATTAAAATTAATGAGTGCTGAAATTTGCCTAAAATGGAAGCTCACTGTGTCACCTCTTTATGACCAGCAAGGTCCATTTTGAAATGGATAAGAAAATTTGTATCTCAAATTCTGAGGAGTATACAGTACAATACTTGCCAGATACAGGTTATGAGTAGAACATACATCAGGTTCCACTGCAGCATTCAATTGCCTTGTTCTTTGTATCTTTACCAACAAATGGAATACAAAGCTATATTTAAGATCAATTTAAAAAGTATGATTGCGCAGTTCATGAGTTAATTCATCTTAAATGCTCAAGATTTGGATAAATTGTTTGCACACTTGCTTCATAAAATTTGGAATTGTTTATGTAAATCATGTATTTGCTATCCTGAATACTGTGCTTCGAAGTTTAGTTACATGGTCTTGTATAGTATTTATAACACAGAAACAGGCCATTCAGCCCAACTGGTCCATGCCAATGCTGATCCTACAAACAAACTATCTCTCACCCTCGGTTAAACAAAAAATTAAAATCTATTCAATAAGACACAATCCAGCACATTGATACTTTGCTGGATTGTACAGTGATTGAATGTGATACTTTCACAATGAAGTGAATTGTTGACTTATGTGCCACTATCTAAGGGGGCACAGTGTTCAATCAAGATGCCTGATATGACTATCAGATGAGAAGATTACAGCAGTTCTGCATTTCTGCCATCATGATTGCCACATACCATTTAAATATTGTAGAACCACACACTTTTGCTGATCAAAGTGGCAAGGGCAGTATTGAATTAGTCCGAAACTAAGCTGCCTTGAGCTCTCTTCATATTCCTGCATTTTTAGCTTCTTCAAATGTTTATCTATTTTTATCTTAGAAAGTTCAGAGATCTTGAAGATTTTGAGCTGCTTGGCCTGCTGTGTTCATCCAGCTCTACACCTTGTTACCTCTATAACTAAAATGATATCATGTTGGCTTATTGAATCATCAGTTCAAAGTTCAAGGAGCTGGGTTTATTTTCATTTATAAAGGTAAAGGTGCCACTGTATAACAAGACCACAGGGCTGCTCTCTCAATAGAGAGAGATGATGGATGGCTGTTTAACTTGATGGTCACCATGCATCAGGTGAGGGGAGACATTGGTGAGGACAGTCCTTTGTGTTAACCTCAGTCAATGCAGGAATTGAACCTGTGCTGTTGGAATCATTGTGTATCACAAACCAGCCATCCAGCCACCTGGGCATACCAAGATGCCTTAACTGAAAAGCTATATTACTACAATTTTTAGAAAGTGAAGGGATTTGATTCTGCCCAGTTATGTAGGTTATTTAAATGAATAGTCATGAAAGAACGGGGGGATTTGAATACAACATGCATTGATGAAGAATAAAATTAGACGATAAAAGGTAGTTCTTTACAGTCATCACACTTTGAAATAACTTACCAACCATGTTGTCAATATGAATGCCCTGTAGTCTTTCAATAGTGCAGCTAGATTTGGCCATTGAACCAAACAGCACAGGGAAAGGTCAGTTGATCCATCATGCCCTATGGCAGTTCTTTGGACAAATTGGACAGCTTTTTCAATTCCCCTTCATCTTAGGTAATCCCTCAGAATCAAGAATGAAGTCACAGTGGAAATGAGTCAGTGATTTCTGAAATACTTTGTGCATCCAATGCACAATCTGCAAACTCTGCCACGTGAAGAAAGTGGTGCTTAAATAGTCAGGCAGATGAGGGGTCTGCAGGTTTTTGTAATTTTCCTTTGATGACTAGACTTTATTGATACCCGCACTCAATGAAGTCCATCAATGCGTTTGGTGCCGAGACTCCCAGGAGTTGGCAAGGATCAGGAATGCTTTCAAAGCACCCAAAAAGCATTTCCAATGTCATCCTTCCAGCACTGAGTTCAGCAAGTAGTACTGTTGCTATGGGAGTCTGGTCTCAGGCATATGAATGACATGTACCACTCAGTAGACCTGGTTTTGAGAGATGACTACCTTGATGTTGAATATGTCAATTTGAGAGAAAACATTGCCATTCAACTACCTTTCTTGCCATCAGGCTGGGAAGATATGGTGAACGCACCAATGATACCCATTCAAAAATAAAGAGGAATTTCTACTTGGAGAGTGGTGAATCTGTGGAGTTCTTTATGACAGAAGGCTTCTAAGGCTAGATCACTGTGTATTTTCAAGGCTAAGATAGACAGAGTTTTAATTAGTAAGAAAATCAAGGGTTGTGAGGAAAAGGCAGGAAAATAAATTTGAGAATTGTCAGATCAGCCATGGTCTCATTGAATGGTGGAGTAGAATCAAATGGGCTACTTCGGCTCTAACATCTTATGGTCTTACAGTGCTTCTCTAGGGCTTTGAAGCACCTGCCGTAGGTTGTCCATGTCTCCAAAGCATACAGCAGCACAGGGATCAATGCTGCTGATAAACAATGACCTGATTCTCAGGTTTGACATCCTGTCCCTCACATACACTTCCTCAGTTGTCCAAAGACTACTGACAATTGGATGAAATTCTAAATTTAGGTGACTATGTCTGCCTCTGCCATGAGGCTTTCAAGAAACTGAAAATAATGAACTTTTTCCAGGATCTTGCCATTGATCTTAATCAATGGGAACAGGCATTGCATTGTGGGAACTGGTCGGAAGAGAACTTTCATTTTAAGGATTTTTAATGGAAGGTCTATTTTCTCATTTATTTTGGAGAAAGAATCAACAATGACCTAGAGCTCAGTTTCTGAGTGAGTATATACACAAGTATTATCTGCATACTGAAGCTTAATGATGGAGGTCAGCATGACATTGGTTTTGGATTGAAGAAGGTGAAAATAATTTGTTGCAGGGGAGGTACAGTATTGCAGGGAGGAAAATGGTGCAATGAGATAGGGTCCGTGGTGATGATTGTATTGGACTACTAAATCTTTCACATTTCAAACAAAGGATTCCACATTATAACATTTCAACGCATCTAAAGTTTCTGATAGAGGCTTTGTCCAATTATAAAGGATACTTTACAAAATAGCAGGAAATAGTTAATATAAGAATCAACAGTCTCTTGCAGAGCTGGCTGGCTGACTGAGAACCCTGAAGAGAAATTTTTCTGTTTTTTTCAAACGTTGTCCGGGGCTTTACTGAAGCTTTTGTTTCTGCCAGGATATTTTATTACGTTAAACAGTTGGATAAGTGGTATATACCTGGCTGAACATTGGTTGAATGAGGTAGATGCGATGGATCAAAGGGCATTTTCTTGTGCGTTTCTCACAAACCGTTGCTACTCACATACAAGCATTCCTGACAGCACTACCTAGATGGTATTAATGATGTTGGATCACAGAACTAATTAAAAGATATCTAAGAATTTATATGTATCAAATTGTTTCTAGATTCACTACCATGAACTTGTCATGAAGAGGAAAGAAGTCAGCATGTATTTGATCTGATGTAACAATATTCATGGGCCATATGTTTGATAACTTTCCTATTTGCCTAACACTACACATTGGGTATAATTTTCGATTACTGTCAGAGGCAGAACTAGATGTGTGAAGAAAATTAAATTGGAGAGTAGTGTTTTGGGCTGTGAAGTCTTTTCTTTGGGCAGAAGCAGAGGGTGAGGGACAGGGTAACACCTAGCCACCCATAAACAGCAGATAATGTTCTCGGCTAACTAACTGGCATATGAAGTGTACTCAGAAAATGTTCACGAGGCCAAGGCACAGCCAAGGATTGGAGATTGTCCTCTGGCAACAGGCTGTAGAGAGTAGGGCCAGGCATTACTCCATCCCAGCAGAAGCCCAGTCAAATGCACCTGCCATGGCC